ATTACATGTTCCATAACATGTAATATGGGTTACTTTGCACTGATTTCTTTTATGCAACATTGCATTTTAAATATTCACTCAGTGTTCAATGTATCTATTCAATATATCACATCCATTTTCATTGCTGCATCATCTTGCATGGTGTGATCATACTGCAATACCCTTTAGAGTAGGGTGTACTGTGATGCTAATGACTCTTCAGCTTTGGGGATTCTCAAGTCCCCACAATCCTTTCAAGATTCCAGTTGCACCCTAGCCATGTGGTCACATGACATTTTTGTTTGATTTACAAAAGTAAGTTGTTGTGACTTATTTTCTTATTCTAGTTATGACCTTCATCACAATGTCGACTAACAGTGGCGAGGACAGACAGACATCCTCATTTTGTTCTAAGTCTTAGAAGGAAAGCTTAGTTTTTTTCACCATGAAATATGATGTTATTCGTGGATTTCTCATGGATACCGTTTATCAGTTCGGGAAGTCTCCTTCTGAGTGTTGAATATTTTTATGATGAAAGGATGTTGGACTTCTTCTTTTTTTTTTTTTTTTCATCTGCTGAGATAATCTTGCGGGCTTTGTCCTTTAGTCCATTAATATGGTGTGTTTTATTGAATTTCACATGTTGAACCCAGCTTGCCTTTTGGGATAAATCCTACTTTGTTATGGTGTATACTCTTTTGTGCTGGCTGCTGGTTCAATTTGTTATTTTTTTTTGAGGATTTATGCAACGCTATTCATAAAAGATCAATTTCTTCCCGTTTCAAAGATGTGTGGTATTTATAGCACAGTCTGGTCTTGTAGCACAAGTCAGAAACTTACTTTTTAGTAGATTTTATGAAGAGTTGGTGTTAATTCTTCCTTAAAAGTTTGTTTTCAACTGTTTGGAGGTTCTCAAACTGCTAAACATGGAGCTTCCCTACAACCCAGCAATCCCACTCCTAGGTATCTACCCAAAAGACACAAAAACACTGATTGAAAAAGATACTTGTACACCCATGTTTATTACTGCTTTATTTACAATTGGAAAAACATGGAAGTAGCCCAAATGCCCAAAAGTAGATGACTAGATTAAAAAGATGTGGTACATATATACAATGGAATATTACTCAGCAACCAAAAAAGAGAAACACATGTCTTTTGCAGCAACTTGGATGGAGCTGGAAAAGATCATGCTTAGTGAGATAAGCCAGAAAGAGAAAGAAAAATACCGGATGGTTTCACTCAAAGCAGGAGTATAATGGACCACGCGAGAAAATAACAAAAATAATGAACAACCATATACCAGAGACATGTTGTGGGGGTGGAGTGGGGAATGGGATTAAAAATGGGGGGGGGAGGGAGGGAAATGCACGGGACTATGGTGGTGGCACAGGGGTGACTTGGTGATGGGAAACACGCAGGGATTACAATTGAGATGGAAAAAAAATGTGCAAAATGATGTAAAAATAAACTTTTGTAATAAAAAAAAATAAAGCATGTTCTCGAAACTCTCAAGAGGTTTGAGCATGAGGAAATATGAAAAAAAAAAGTTTGTTTTCAGGCCCTCCCTGGTGGCGCAGCGGGTTAAAGCACTGCACTAAGAAGCTAAAGCCACTTCTGCATGAGTTCGATTCCCGCCTGCCCCGGAGGTGACCACATGGCGTGGCAGACCTCTCCTGACCCGCCCGCTGCTCCCCTCAGCAGTGTACTTCGTAGCTCTGCCTGTTCGGCTCCCCGCCCTGTCTCTGGTGAAGCCTCTCACCGCCCCTGCACCTCTGGCCTGTACCCCAGTTGTGTAAGCACAACTAAATAAATCTTAAAAAAAAAAAGTTTGTTTTCATTCTAACTACTTGCATTCATACTAATTTGTCATTTTTTTATTCTTCTACTTAGTAAGGTCCCCAAATTGTTTATGCTTCAGCCCCCACAGTATCTTCTCATGAAGTACCTACTGCATGGTTGATGGAAGTTGTGTCCATTTTGGGACTCTTGAGTGATGCTGCAGTGGTCACTCTGGCACATGTTCCTGGAGCCCATCCCAGTAGTCCACTCAGTGTACACCTGGAGTGCCTGGCTGGGCCCATGGGGATCATGCAAACTCAGCTGTGGTTCAGGCACACCCCACTCACGTTGCTCCACACCTTCACCAACATTTGTTGCTGTCAGACTGTGTACAGTGGTGTTTACCATGGTTTTCATTTGTGTTAGGTTAAATCCCATGAAACGGCCATTCTGTAGGTCAAGATGATCCAACACAGTAAGTGACACATGATTCAATCTACCGTCTAGCTGACTGGTAGACTATGTATTTCTGTATTTAATGGCCATATGCATTCCCTCTCTTGAAGACTACCTGCTCATCTAATGTGCCCATTGTTCTTTTTGTCTTATTAATCTGTAGGCCTTTCTATATGCTGAATGAGCCCTTTGTCAGTTGTAAGTTGCAATTATCTTGTTTCACTTTGAGACTAGTCTTCTAATTCTCTTAATGATAATTTTATTGAGGTAGCTTTGCCAATGTTTTCTTCTATGCTTAGTGTTCTTTGTATTATTTCAATCTTGCCCTGACCATGTTCATAAAGACATTCTTCTCTCATATTTTCTAAAAGGTTTATTGTTTTTGCCGTCTATAGTGAGATTTAAACTCTACTTGCAATTGATTTTGTGCATTACGGAAGGCAGGGTTCCAGGTTCATTTTTCCACGTGGATAACCAATTTTCATAACATAATTTATCAAAAAGGCCATTAGAATAGCCACTTTTGTCAAAAGTCAAGTATCAGATATTCAGGTGTCTGCTGGTAAGTCTGTCCTTGAGCTAACAACATCCTGTCTTAAAGATTATAGCTTTGTAATAAGCTTTCATAACTGGTAAAGCAGTTGTCTTCTGCAGAAGTGTCTTTGCTGTTTCCACATATGTTATAGAATAGCTTGTCAGCTCCCACAAAGGAAGAATGGAGGAGAAGAGACCCTGCTGACATTTTAATTAGGAGTGCACTGCAGTTATATGTCAAGTTGGAGGAGAACCAATATTTTTAAAATATTGAGTTCCACTTCCAAATTATTTGGACCTTCTTTTATATCGTTTTCTCTGGAGAGATCTTGTATATCTTTTATATTTATTTATAGGCACCTGATTTTTATGCTTTATAGAAGTAATCTTTTTTTACAATTTCATTTTCTAACCATTCATAGCTGGTATATAGAAAGAGTATTGATTTTTGTATATTGACTTTTCAACCAGCCATCTCTTATTAATCCAAATAATATATTTTTTAGATTTTCTAAGTAACAAATCAAAAGGAAGTTTGCACCTCTTTCCAGCCTTTCTTTTACTTCCCTTTCACCTTATTGTGCAGCTAAGGGCCTAAAGTACAAAGCTGAGTGGCAACAGAATAGCAGGTACCTAGTCTCCATCTCAAAGGACTTCTAACTTCCTGTAGGTTTCTCAGAAACTGACCTAAAACAGGAATCTGGGTAGGATTTAATTCAAGGAAAACACGGTAGGGAATGGGGAAGTGAGACAAGAAAGGAGGGTGTAAGGGTGTGTTATGATAAGCTTCATTCCAGAAACTCTTTCTTCTGGAGAAACTCTAGTCACACACAACTGTTTTCTCAGCTCAGACATGAGGGTGCTGGTGTGAAAGGGCACTTTATACTCCTTGAAAATCAAGTGAGTTGAGTAGGAAAGTGCTTTGCAGGGGCAAAATCCCTTGTACATAGTTGGTTTGGGTGAGCTGAGTCCAGTGTCAGTTTGAAAACTCACCCCTTTCAAAGACTTTAAGCTCCCAGGGGCATCTAGCAGATTTATCAGTATTTTAAATTTGCATACCTTCGATTCTGTAGTTCCATTTTTGGACTTTATTCCAAGGGGAAAAAATAAGTCAGGTGTACACTTTTATCTGTACAGATATTCCTTCTAATAATGTTGAGACTTGGCAACAGGCAGGGAAAATAATTAAAGTTCTATTAATAAGGAACTGAGTAAGCCATGATACATCTGTGCAATAAAATACTGTGTAATTATATATATTTAAAGAGAAAACTTTCCTATTTAATAATATATAAATATTCTTTTGTAGCCAAGAAAGCTATCACAAAAAGGGTTAAAACCTTTTGTCACTCCTGGAAAGTCACTGTTCAGCTCCAATTGAATTTGAGTTGCATTTGCAGATATTTGGCTCAAATTGTATCATCCTCTACATAGTTTTGCAACTGGCCTTTTGTAGTCGTCTGGTGATCTCTTCATGTGGTTCACATGACTTAACGTCTTATCAACAGCAAATTATGGACATTTCCATGTACTTGGCTTTACGTCAGCTGATGCACCTTTAGGGGATTCTCATCTGCCATTGCTAAATTAAATTAGAATGTATTGATGTGGAAGTATTCCTTTATCATACTAAATTGTTTTTGAAAGCTTAAATAGTCATATTTACACACAAATGTTTATACTGGTATCCAACATATTGGAAGACCACCAATTACTAGCTCAATTGTATTGATGAGAGGGGGATTTCTGCTTTTCCCATTTTAATTTTACTGGTGATCATCTTTTTCCCTGGTACACTTAGCAATGGAGAGGCCCTGGCAGCGGCTGAGAGGTTGGCGCGGGTGAGGCTGAAGCATGGACTGGCCTTCTCTGCCGCTCAGGGGAGGGCTGCAGAGGGGTTGGGGGAGCGTGGGGAACAATCTTGGCAGCCCAGGGCAGCCCAAGGGGGTCAGTGCTGAGCTGGGAGGCTGCAGGGTGCTGAGACTATTCCGGGAATGGAAGGAGGGAAGAACCTTGAGACCCCAGAAGGGAGACTGGGATAGAAGTGACCTTGCAAATTGGGCTTCTCCCACCCTTCGTCCACATCAGGCACGAGCTCAGGAAATCTGAAATCCTAGGAGCTGCGGCCTCCTCCATGCGGCCTCCTCCACCCGTACTCTATCCCCACCCCCGTCCTCGTTCAGAGGCTCAAGGCAGGCTGACTGAACCCCCATCCTTTCAGCCTCCAAACATGCACAACAGAATGGGTTTGAGTGGAAAATGCACTTTAATAATCCAGCTTCAGCTCAGCTGAGAACTTCCCGTGGACGAGAAGTCTTTCCAAGAGGCCTCAGTCCACTAGGAGGTTACGATTCAGAGAAGGGAACAGCTCAAAGAAGCCCTGAAATGGGATGTAACATGGGACCTGGAATTAGTGGAGGCCAGATGGAGGCGCATCCTCACCTCCGCCAACAGGGCCCCAGCAAGAGAGGCACAGCGATCCGCACCCAGCAACTAACTACCCATCTTCCCCCTGTCATGATCTTCTGGGGGGGTTGATCAGGACACCCAGGCTTTAAGAATGGGGACCCCTCCATTCCTACACAGCGGCACTGAGACACCCAGATCGTTTGTCCAGGCCACCACTGGGTGGCGGTAATGTCACCCCAGCAACCGATCCAGCTGTCCAGGGGAAAGGGGGTGAGGCAGGAGTCACCTTGAAGAGGGTGAGGGTCTGGAGGACTCCTGTGGTGCAGGCTGTCTCCCGGATGGAGTGCATGGCCAGCTGGGGGCTGCCTAAGTCCAGCACCCGCAGCCCCAGCCGAGAAGCCAAGATAGGGCCAATGGTGGTCCCACAGGTGGAGTCGTTCCGGACCATGAGATCCTGGGGAGGGAGGGCAGGCCGGGGAGCAGCAGGCGTGAGGCCGTGGTGCAGGTCAGCCCAGGGCCACAGGGCCGTGAGGACCGGCAGACGGTCACTTCTCCCCCTCAGAGAGGGGGTGCGACCCGGGTAAAATTATCCAGGCGACACCACACCAGCCCAAAGGTCGGTGAGCGCTGGTGGGGTCCCGCTCTTTCTCCCTAGTCCCAGCTGCCTTCGCCCGTTCTGCCAGCAGGAGGAGGGGGTGGAAAACAACGCGTCCTCCGCGCCCCCACACCATGCCCGGCAGAGGAGCTTAGTTTCCGTGTTGTACAAAATATCGTGACTGGCATCTTAAAACCATTTTCTTTCTATCTTGGTTAAAAGGTAAATTATAACATGACATTAGATACCAAGACTTTCCAGGGAAAGTCAAAACAACGATAAAAATCAGATAAAGGGTCATCTTCAGTTTTTGGGATACGAAGCACACACACGTCTCAAAACCCACGTGACGGGCCCCAGGGCACTCTCCCGAGACCAGCACCACCACTCTGACACACGCGGCCAGGAGGGGAGCCTGAGGTTTCCCGCCCGCAAGCCCCCCCACTGCCCCGCCCGCTCTCTGGGCTCCCGTCCAGGCGGCCGGCCTCACCTGCAGGGGCACCCCCACGCGGCCGGCCACCTCTCGGATCAGGGCCTCGGAGACCGCGTTGGAGGCATAGCGCTGCTTGCTGTTCACCTTGATCACAGGGCCCTGAGGCAGACGGGAGCGCGGGGTGAGGCAGAGACGGGGACAGGCCGGGGGGCGAGGGCCAGCACCCGCCCGCCGCCGAGTCCTGGGGAGTCACAGGAGCGCCTCACCTTGTGGAATAAGGGCCGGTGGTTCTCCTCATGCTTGTCCCTGAAAGAGGCGGCCGAGGGTCAGGAGTGGCAGCGGGACTGGGCCTGCCGGGCGCACGCCTCACCGCGCAGCCCTCACTAGGGTCAGTCTTTCTAGGCCTGGGAGGACCTCAGACTCATGCTACACACGGGGTTCCGGCAGCCTCTACCCAGCAGATGGACACAGCCTTGTCGGTGTGGCCGGATGCTGTCTTTGGTCAAGCGGGTCTCGGAGCAGTCAGGAAAACCCACTGAGCGCCCCAGGAGGAGGAGAAGGGGTGGCGGGGAGGCCTTGGTCAAACGGGGGCCGAGCCTGGAGGCAGGTGACACTCAGATCTGGCAGACCTGTCTGCCACGTAGACTCACGGGTAGTTGGGGTGCACAGCGTGGGCCATGTCCGCGCTGATCATGTAGGACTTGGGTATGGCTTCCTCAAAGGCCGTCAGGTGCTGCACGGAGGCTGAGATCCGCCGCAGCACCAGCTCCGTCAGCAGCGACTGCGCCCCCTGGGCGCTCTCAGATCCCACCTGTGAGCGTGAGACAGGACTCAGTCTGGGGTCAGGGCCAGCGCTGGAGGCCAGGGAGAAGGACCCCTGTCCTGACTGGCCCAGGACCCCAATGAGGCAGCAAGAGGAAAATGCAGGGTGTTATCATCGAGTTCCCCAACCTCACGTCATTGAAAACATGACAGCAGGCTGGGGCCAAACTAATCCTCAGTCCTGTCTGGGGCCAAGACAGCACTTTCTGCTGGGCCTCCACACTGAGTCTCTTCCTCCTCCTCGACCCTCCCATCTGGGCCTCGGCCGAGAGCCACACCTTCGGTCAGCTTTCCTTCAGATGTGACAGAAGGCACTGACTGCCCACTGCACCCTCTATTGTGAGCACCCCAGTCATAACTAAGCACGTGAGTGGCTGCCCAGGGGACATCCCTGGCTTCCCTCGGCGCTGACATGGCCGTGCTCGGCCCCTGGAACGCAGGCAGCGGTGAACGCCACTTCTGGGTCACGCCCTGAAAAGGATGGGTGTACCCTCCCCAGAGCCCCTTCTCCCTGGCTAGTACAGTCACCCTGGAGGCTGAGATGGAGTCACGAGTTCAGGACGGCAGAGGCCTGATGACCGCTCCTCCGAGACCTGTCAGAGAACTGTCCATCCATCTCCGCTCCAGTCCTGCCTCCACACTGCCCCTGACACAAGCTCATATTCTAGGCACCATGAGGTGCTGACTGGGGGGCAGCAGAGATGAAGGGCTGAGTCCTCGAGGGCCCAGAGTGGCACGAGGGTCACACAGGGCAGGTGGGACTGAACACTCAGGGGCACAGCGAGCGTCAGTCACTCCGCCCCTGGGGCCTCCAGAATGGCCCTGGCTCAGGTGGAGCCTGGCACCAGCTGGCTATGGAAAGCTCCAGAGACCCCCCCCCCAGGACGCCCCCCCTACCTCTTCATTGTCATAGAGGGCGATCATGCGCACGTGGGGGTCTGAGGCCAGGGAGGCAGGGGCTGCACAGGAGTCGATCAAGGCCTGGTTTGAGGAGGAAAAGAGAACGTCACCCTCCCCCTCCCCCTCTTCTCTAACTCAGTCTGCCAGCACCTGGGTTCTGGTGTCCCCCACCCGCCTGCGTGACCATGGCCGCAATGAGCGGGGCTTGGGTTGTCAGGTCTCCATCTTTAGGCCACTGCTTGGCAAAGTTGGGGGGATCTTTTCAATGGGGTGCTAAGGCCCTTCCCTTGAGGCAGAGGCTAACTGGAAGGAAGAGCAGCCAGAGCAGGGCTAGACATCATGTGCCCGAAGGGACCCTGCAGCCTCCCCACACCTCACGCCCACATTCCCGGCCTGGGCAAGAGGCTGCAGCCTCGAGGCCCCTCCGCGTGGTCCTCCCACACCAGCACAGAGGTGGCGGCCAGCAGTTCTCCGCCACCTGCTGGGGTGTGAGGCAGTCCTCCCAGCCCTCACCTGCAGGGCACAGAAGCAGCTGTGCAGGTTGTCCAGCCGAGGGGCAAAGATGAACTCCTCATAGGCACCACCCAGGACCTAGAAAAGCAGGACAGGCAGCCTGGCCTTCACCCTTTGCCTCTACTTACCTGCTCTTCCTGTTCCCCAGGGCCTGAGCTGGAGGGAGCCGCGGAGCCTCTGAGGTCCTTTGCACAAACTCACGGACTCCTACCTGGGGGCACCTTAGTCCCTGCTGGGCAGGGCTGGGGAGATGTGCCTGGCTGGATGGAGCTCAGGGACAGGAGGATGGGAGCTTATAGTTTCTCACTAGTTCGCGTGGGACAGAAATAGTCCCCAGAAAAGCTTAGGAAATAGAGACCATGGAGAAACAGAAACCTCCTGTATCTCCAACAGGAGTAGAGAGCTAGAGGCTTAGCTGTCTCCTGCTGCCAGTAAACGGGACGCAAGGAAGGGCTCCGGAATAAGGGGTTCCAGAGGTTAGGGCTGGTGGGGACCATCTGCAGAAGCTCCTGGAAAGTCTGGGGAAAGGGGGCTCCCAGGCCCCACCCCAGAGAATGCACGGAACCAGGTCTGGAGTGGGACCCGGCCCTGAGGGCAGAAAGGGAGAAGACAAGGACCAGAGTAACTGGGCAACTGGCAGAAATGATGAGCGTTTCAGGGGGGCAGGCTGGGGCCCTGGAGACCTCCCTCCCCCCCAAGATCCTGCAGTCGTTCCTCACCGCAGGCTGGGTGTCTGCAAGACACAGCTCCATCTCCAAGATGTCCTCCGGGCTCAGCCCCAAATGGGCACAGAGAAGGGACATGAGGACCGAGTGGTGCCGGTCGTCCTGCAGGGCAGAAGGCTGCTGGGAGGAGGGTCCACCCCACCCCTCGGGAACGGGAACGTGTCCCTCCCGCTGCTCATCACTCCCTGTGTGCAGGGTGCTCTCTTACTGCAGTACTGAGAGGGCCAGGCTCAGGGGTCCCCTTCTCCAGCTCCTCCTGGACAGCTGTAGCAAGAATGGGGACCCTGTGGGGAGACACAGCGAGAGGGAGAAGTGAGGGGAAAAGTGGGGCGCAGAGCAGGACAGGGCCAGGCTCAGGCATCTCCTGGTGGGGAACGGCCCTTGCTCTTCACGTCTCAGCTTGCCCCCCAAATGACAGAGTTCTGAGGGCTCTACGACATCAGCTGGGCCCCAGGAGTAGAACCTGACCACAGCCTCCAGTAATGAGTGACCTCTGAGGTCCCGCCGGGCCCTCCCATCACTTGGGCCCACCCCAGTCCTCCTAGTCACCAGCCCTGTCCCAGACTCACAAGTGCATCTCCATGTTGGGCCCGAAGTTCTCATTGACGTTCCGCTGGAGGTGGATGGCCAGGTGCGGGATGCGAAGGATGGGCCGGTCCACGTGCACCAGCCGCTGCTCCAGCCGGCCTGAGGTGGGACACTGGGGTGGCCAGGCTGGGTCAGCGCAGGGCACCTTTCACTCACCACTGGCTAAAGCCCCCACTTAACCCAGACTAACCGAGGTTGTCCTCCGCCCTAGACTCCCCCTAACTCCTCTAAAGGAAGGTGAGAGTCAATCTTCAGCCAGCTGAAGCTGAGAACCTCCCAGGTCCACGCTCAGTTCCCACCTTGACAATGACACGCCCAGCCAAGGTGAGGTCACGGTCAAACCAGGTGCTCCAGATCCCTCCACCGTAGGTCTCCACACCGACCTGATGGAAGCCCACCTGGCTGCGGCGAGATCGCCGTTTCACCTGGGTGTGACAGTGGGGAACACGAAGTCAGGTGAGATGAGGCCTCGTAGCAAGATTTTGAGCAGAGCATTCATGGGTCTAACAGCAGAATATCAGTGCTGGAAAAGGCCCAAAAATGTGGAGAAAAGGGGTGACAAGTCTTTTTTCCTGCTCCCAGTTTTCTCTTGCCTGTTCTCCCCATTACTGCCCCTACCCCAGCTCTGCCCCAGCTCCTTACCCGCAGGCAGGGGCTGTCTGTGTGGGCCCCAATGAGGCTGAAACCATTGCCAGGCACGAACTGACCTCCCACAGCGAAGGCCACGATGGTGGAGGAGTTCCTGGTCAGAAAGTACTAGGGGGGAGAGGGAGCACTCAGGACTTTGAGCCCCAGCCTGGGGATCTGCTTGTCTGTCCCCACCCCACCCCTAGTACCTTGCTCTCGGGCTTGATATCCCAGGTCTCTGTTTCCTTGAGTTCACGGAAGCCAGCCTGGAGGAGGCGGTTGCGGCACTCAGCCACCGCTGGAGGAAAAAGCAGCCTCTCTCAGCGATGGAAGCCGGCGAGAAGGCTCACCTGCGTCTGCCCTGGGCCACCACTCGGTCACCCCTCGGCCACCGAGCTCACTTACCGTGGAAGGGCGAAGGGCTCCGGTTCACGAATTTGAGCAGTTCGCGTGCCGCGGCCTGCACCGCCTCTTTGCGGGCCCTACCGGTCATGGCCACCTAGGGAAGGGGGACGATCAGCTTCCTACGATCAGCTTCCTACGAGGTCTGGGACCTCTGAGTTATCCTCCGGGCTCCGAGCACTCCCCAGCTCCCTCCCCGGTGACCGCTCTACGACTCCGACCTCGGCTTCCTCTTGCTCCCGGAGAGACGCAGAAGCAGGGCCGAACCCCTCCACTTAAGGCTTCTGTCCCGCAGCCAAAGTCTCTTCACCTCAGCACACACCCCGCCCAGCTGACCAAGGGGCCCGCCCCCCTAAGTCCCACCCACGTGCCCGCCCAGCTGACAAGTCCCGGAGAGTTCCCAAACTCCGAGGACCACGCGGGCCCCTCTCAGGCCCTTCACCGGGTGCGACCCCCGACCCCAAACTAAGGTCGGGTTCTGCAGAGAGCCTCCGCCCCGATCCCTCGCAGGCCACCCTTTTCCAATCACGGGAAGGTCAGGTCACGGGAGCGGAACTTTCGGTTTCGATTTGGGTCGGGCCCAGTGGTCAGTCTGGGCCGTGGGGTCTGGGATCGAAATTCGAGCGGAGCGGCCCGTAGTCATCTACCTGCATGGCCCCGCGCGGCGGCGTCCAGGGGCTCGCTCGGTCCAGGGGCTCAGCCCGTCTCCACGTCCTCC